GGTATATGGGCGTCATGGCTTTGGCACCGCGTCGCTTCCGCCGACGACCAATGTCGAAGCCGTCCTCGACACCGAAAGCGAGCTCGTCAGGTATGTGGGTGTCTGGATCCGAATGTCGTGCGTCTCGCGATCGGTGTCTTTGAAACGCCACTGGATTCCGCCGTTCTGGCGCAAGAGCTCCCCTCGTGTCCGAAGTCTAGATGCTATACTTCAAATGGATGTCCGACAATGCCTGTGACCAAGATCAGTTGGACAACGTCATGGCCGCCATCGCTGCGTCGTGCCTGCATCTGTCCCACCTGCATCTCAAAGGCAGCTTGATGCACACGATCGAGAGATGTGACAGTCTTCTCACGTGGCTCGCACGCCCGGACGCTCGATCTCAATCGCATCACGTTTGCTCCGACCGCAGCCAACACCTTGGCGCAGGCGCTGCGCGCCTCACCGACGCTCCGCACCATCAAGCTTAGCACGCGGTGACGGCGTTTCAGGCTTTTATGGACCCAGCGCGTGCAGCGTCGCCGCCGCTGCGCGACCTGGCGCATTGCTCGGGTCAAAGGCGGTGCTTCGCGCACCCTTCGACACGCTTTTCGACTGGTCGCATCCGTCGGAGCCCGGACTAATGCGCGACCTGAAGGTCATCGGCGGGTGTGATTAGACCGACGTAGTCGTTCCGTCCACAAGCAAGCACGAGAACGAGCTCGCCGAGCTTGCCCGGGTATGCCGCGCCGAGAATCGCTACTATGATATGTGGCACCTTTCGCCATTGACAAAGCCGTCGACATGGCTATTTTAAGCATTGATATATCGCATGGGACATCGGCGATTATCCCAATCAAAGGACTCCCAGCGCTGCTGCGGCATAGCGTGCACGGGACGTTAAACGCTTTTACGTATTTAACCGACTCATGTGGAAAACATCGAGTTCCTGTACATCAGCGAAACACCGACCGCTCCTTGCAGCAATACACGCACTCGAGTAGAACCGTAGAGAACATACAAACAGCTCCAGTGTGCTATCGGTGCATACAAGGAAGTGATACCACCTGCACTTCCGGTGTCCAGTGTTCCCACATTTCATTTCCCACATTTGCATTTCCCACATTTTCCTTTCGCACGTGTTTTCCACGACCGTGTCAATCGAAAAAATGAGCAACACGAAACAAGCGCGCGTCGAGGCGGCGCCATGGCTGCTGCCACCGATCGTGCTGCAGGTCGTCCACTACTTGGACAAAGCCAGCGATGTCATCACCTTCCTCGATGCAGCGCCCAACGCCGCCCGCGACAAGGCCTTTGATGCGCTTGTGACGCTCTTGGTCGCCGAGCCCGACCTCTGGCCAGCGACCGGCATGGACGACTTGTACAAAACAAGCGACACGGACGACGACTCGATTGTGACAACGGCGCTACCCGCGCTTCGCAAGGTGCTGATCGCCCAAGGTAGCGAGATTGGCAACGGCCTGTCACTTTCACCGACGACCGACGTCTGTCGAGGACCCGAGCGCCTTCCGATCCATTGTGGGCAGCTGGGCACCGAACGTCGTGAGTCTTACAATCGTCATCAACGAAGAGCCACTGGACTGCAGTGTATTGCAAGAGGAACTTGCAGCGTCCGAGCTCACGTCGCTCAAGTCGGTTCACGTCGACTGGAACGAAGAGGTCGACGACGAACAGCTCGACGACGCGGTCGCAGCGATCACCGCCTCGTGCCCCAATCTCTGCGAACTGGATCTCGCCACCGATGTCGATTCAGAACTGGAGACCTGTGAGAGTCTTCTTGGATGGCTCGCGCGCTCCGGTGCCCGGCAGTTTAAGCTCGGTGCCATCGACTTTGCGCCGGGCGCCGCCACGGATGTGGCGCATGCGCTACTCTCGTCGACGACGCTCCATACGATCCAGATCTTTGGTGCTCCAAACGTCCTCGAGTCGTTTTTGGAGTCGTCGTGTACGGCGCCGCCCCAGCAGCTACGCAATTTGACCATCGGTCACGGCAGCAGCTGGCTCGATGTGACTGTGCCAACCACGGTGCGCACGCTTGAGCTCGTCTACGTCAAGATGAAGACCTTTTCTTCGCCATTGCCCGAGGTCCAGTCTCTCCGACTTTGTCACGTGACGTTGACAAGCGACGCTGTCTCCAGTCTCGCAGCCGTGCTTGCAGCGACGACCACACTTTTTCGACTCGACCTTGGCGACACTACTTTGTCCGACGATCAACTCCAAGCGATCCTGGATGCTCTGCCGCACTGGCTGAATCGCCAGCACCACAAGTGCTACTTGCGCCTGCATGCGAAGCACCGGAGCGAGCCGCGGATCGCCGCTGTGCTGACCCAGATTCGCAACACGCTCGAGGTGCAGATCGAGTTGTGCGGCGGCGACGACTTTGACTTTGCCACGTGCCATAATCTCTTGCCGGGCTTTGGCACGACGTCGCGGATGCAGCTGCGTTTCTCAAAGACGGGCTAGTCCATGGAGCTGCTTGCATACCGACAAGTACTGGCTCGCAACACTCGAGGTGCGCGGTGTCGAGTACTAGAACCACGGTTCCTCTCCCCACAAACGATGTTACA